AGGCTGCTGGGGACAGAGGAGCTGTTGGCATCGCCACCGCGGCTGGAAATTGCTGCCACTTACTGAACCCACCGGCAGCTCCCGAGATCTTCAGTTTGCTCCAGGCAGGAGATGGGAAACATCACAAGCAGCTGAACGGACAGTTTAGAAACACCCACCTGAGCCAAGGCAGCCCGTTTTGCCTGGAGCAAGTAGACGGCCACAAACAGCAGCGACAGGGCAGCATTGCCCTCCAGAGCCAGATCGGGAGAGGAGACGCCTGCAGCTTCACCGCTGAGGCCCCGCTATGAAACAGTCACGCAGGAGGACGAGGAGAGTCCCATCACCGCACGCCCCACCACCGCCAGCAGGAGCAGAAAAGGCTTTTTCTCTTCTCACCCATCCCGACCAAAGTGGTTGTGGCGGCTTTGCAAGAGGAAGGATACTCAGGGAAGGAGGAGATGCCTCCTCTCCCACCCGCAGGGGCTCACTCCTGATCTTCCTCCTGGGCTCGAAGGCGAGGAGCCACAAGCCTGGTGTGACAGCACAGCGGGCCCGCTGCGTGTCTGAAAGCGCTGCTTCAGCTGCAACCCACGGAAGAAAGAATAAAGGAAATTTCTAAACTCACCTGAGGAGCAGGAGAAAGACGCACGAGCACAAGTCCCGAGAAGAGCTTTAAGAACAAGAGGGAAAGTCACATTTGCCAGCAAAATGTGCCAGGAGAAACTCAGCTTGTCCTTTCCCAGTCCCTGCAAAACGCAAGCTGACAGTGGCTTTCGAGAGAGCGGCTACAAAGCACAGCTGGGACCCAGGGCTTCTTCCTGCTGGCGTTTGGTTTGGGCCACAGAGTACAGAACACACGTAGCGTCACCCTGATCTTATCCGGCCCCATCTCCAAGCAGCAAACAAAAGGAAGGAGACACAGAATACTTATCACAACACAGATTTAATTTCTTAGGCAGTTATAAAATTACAAAGAGCGAAGGGCCAGCAGTGAGAGCCAGACACTTGGTGAGGTGGAATGTTAGACAGATTTTTCCACTTATCGACACAGATACCGAGTAAGCGAGCACTGCAGGGTGCAGGGGTTTTTTTTTCCCAGGTGAGGAAGCAAGTGCAAGAGTAAATAGATCCAGGTAGACAAAGGGTTGAGCCAACACCCCATAGAAACCCAGAGCTACAGGTTTGGGACCAACTCCCCACGCCTGAGAAACGAGTCAGCCACATGCAAAGGCAGCGCAGGGGGAGTCAGCGCCTGGGCCGCGGCAGCCAAAAAAAAGCCCAGACACCTGCCGCGAGCAGAGCTGCGGCTGTTCGCAAGCCAGCATGACAACTTCTCGCCCGTTATTCTCGAGGCAGCGTGAGATGAGATTCACCAATTGCAAGAGTGTTAAAATGAAGGGATGTCATGGTTCGGAAAACAGGGATCTGCCGAATTCCTTTGGTTGCGCAAGTGGAATCGGAAAGGATTTAGTTAGAACCACGCTTTCTTCACGGCAAGCCTTTCACGGCGCAGATTCCAGAAAAAAAAAAAAGGCCTGCTCTGCACATGTGGAGAAGATGCTGCCTTGCTCCCAGATGTTAGCAGGATAAATCAAGGCGACCCTTAGCCAGGACCGCTGGAGCACAGAACAAAAACTTCCCAACCCTCAGCAGCGATTAATCCCCAGCAACGCTCCGGGCAACGGCTCCCGCTGCTCCGCAAACGGCGGTGGAGCACCCGCACGCACAAGGGGTTAACACCGACTCGCTCAGCGACCCCCAAGGAAAGAAACGCCACCGTCTAACATTACCAGAGCCAAGAAGGGAAGGGACATAACCCGCAGAGCGCTCTGCTGGCCGGCTCCTCGGGGCTCTGTGCCAACCCACCGGCCGAGCTGGTGGCTCTTCAGTCCGTTCCTCCCTTTTTACTATTGCCCAGAGGTCAGATGGACGTTTCTGTCACTGCCTTGAGTCTTCTCCTACATCTTTGCGCTCAGAGAGACTCGAAAAGCCACCACCTCTACCCCCACCCTCTGTGGAACACCGGCCCGAGACGCCCGCTGGCAGGCCCCGAAGCAGCGAGGACCACGCGCCCCTCTGACCCCCGAGGGACCGAAAACTGAACCGCGCTGCCGAAGAAAGAGCTTTCACCAACTTCTTTATGCTCTGTATTTCCTCCCCCTCCTCTGCAGGCCCAGCCTCTCAATGGTGAGATTTGTATCTACCACTGGTGTTTTGGAAACAGCGACATGAGAAGAGAGCAGAGCAGATAAACCCCTTCTGCCTCAGAACTCGACACACAAAGTGGGGTAAACAGGGAGATGTCGAGACAGCAGCCGAGCGTGGACACTCGCTACCTATTTGCACATCAAAAGCAACAGCTCCTTCCCTACGGTGCTCCCTGGGAACGGACCTCACTGCACCCTAACACCTGACTGGAGGATTCCACGTTTGTAAGCGTTCCCCCTCTCCCCAGCTTTGGTTGTTTCAACTGTCTCTCTCTGCCCCAACCCTCTACTGAGCTAAAAAGCTATCAAGAAGTGCAGCTGTATCCAGAGAGACACACACTGTCACAGAACAAACACCGTCCTTCCAAGGAAGGTCAGCCTGAAACGAGAGGGGCTGTCCAGGTGTCCCCGTACCGCACGACCAGAAGGCCACGGCCACAGCCTCCCTGGCGCACCCTGGGGGTCCAGGGCTGTTAGACCACCAGAACAGAAACGGTCAGACACCACCTGATGCACAGAGCGCCACAGCGCAAACGTGCGCCCCGTACTTGGTGGCTGCAGGCAGCACGTTTAAGGAAAAAACCAACAAAACAAAACACATCTTCGTGTCATTGGGATGAAAGCCCAACCGGAAAGGCTTCTAACTTTGGTAGCACACCACAGCAGGGTGGTTACTGAGGGCCCAGGGCCATCAGAGGGAAATATTAGTCATATTTTATCTGAGAAAAAGTCTGTATCCTCATGCAATGAATTTAAGACAGACTACTGTCACCACAAATCCACTGTCAGTGGGGACCAGCAACCACCTACTCCACCCTACTGGCTCCATGCTGGTCACTAACGCCAGAATATTAATACTTTTGCTCTCTGAAGAGATTTTTTCCAGTTACAACAACAAGATAAAGATACTTTAACTGGCTTCCAGCTTCTACTGAAGAGCGAACACGCAGAGCACAGCAACTCAACAGTCAGTGCGTGGCGCAGGAGCGTACTACAGCAAACGGAAGACACAAATACAGTGACCGTGGGATCTCCAACTCACCTGTGGAGGGTAAGGTGTGAAAGTTAAGAAGGGGTAAAGTTCACGCAAGGTATGTTCTCAGTTTTTAGCAGTAGAAGTCAGCAGTTACACGAAGGGGGTGTATCTTACTATGTAACACGCCCTTCGTTACACTCAGGAGTTGCAAAACTCCTGTGCTAAGGAGACCTGAGTTGCTCAAGCATGTTTACTGCTAACCTACTCGTGGAGGTTACGCCAAGCCTCCAAGTATGTTACCAGGAATGTCACCAGCTTTAGTCTGGAGTGAGCAGACATCTGACAGCTCCTGGGCGGTTCAGTTTGCCAGCAAAGCTCGCTGAGCTTGTATTTACTTCAAGATTCGTATTTTACTCTGCAGTTACGAGCCCCACAGCAAAGCTGATAGCACTTGCAGTAAAAAAAAAGCCCCCAAATTAATTCCAGACCATGGAATTTAGTTGCCAGCCAGAGCTTAAAGTCAACAGACTACGTGGTATTTCAGCACGGCTCAGTGGTTTGCTTTGAACGAGCTGGGTTCTGGAGAGGACACCGCAGGCCGCTCCAGCCAGCTCCTTTGGTCAGCCAAGGGTTTTCCGTGAATAAACAGGCGTGAGCCCTTCTCTCCCACGTGCGCTCGTGTAAGAACATCGTCCACTGACAGGGACTAACAGCAGCCTCGCTGACACAGGCAGAGGCCACCACCACCTTCTGCACTTCTAGAGGAAGGGGAAGCCCACCTGCCCCCACGGGGCTTCGGGGACAAAGACCACCCCCTGCTATTGCTGGAGAGGAGACTTGTTAACCAAACCCCAAAAGCACATCGCTGTCTAGTTGGGGAAGGGAGCTCACGCGTAGCTTCTGCCCTCCTCTCAAGATCCACCATTTCCTTGTCTGTTTTGATTTTTATTTCCTTGGAAGCAGCCAGCAGAGGGAAAGGAAGCAACCCACATTGCTACACAAAAGGCAAACCAGGCTCATTTTGGCAAAGGAAAAGTAACACTCACCAAGTACTCCGCTAATCGCTTGCTCCCTAACTGTTATCCAGGACTCAAGAGAAGGCACATTACAACCCTAAAAATAGTCTGCAGCACTGCTCAGCCTTGGAAAGCCCTAGCTAGGGTCAGGGCAGTTAAGGATTTATTCCAAAACTGCCAAAGAGACAACCAGTCCTTGGAGTATATCACAAGAGGTACTCTGATGAAAGGGAAAATAATTAAAACAAACAACAACAAAGCATTGTCATCCAGCAGAAGAGAACCCAGCAGAAAATCAATCTTTCAAAATCATTTCTATTTACATCTGTGTCTGGCAAAAAAACGCCTGAACCATCACTATTGGAGCAGTACACTCAGCCCCAGCCTGAAGAGAATCAAGAACTGCGAGCTATGCCTTCCACCTGAAAACCTTAAGGCTGTTTAAGGGTGGGGCTGCCATACTCCACAGGGACTTCCCGCCAGCCTGACAGAATCCTTGCTTTGGATAATGTAAAAACAGTATAAAAAAAAGTTATTGCTACTCTGCAAAGGAAACAGGACAATCTAGAGGAGAGAAGGAAAGGGCATTCCAAGCCTTCTCTAAAAAAAAAAACCCACAAGCTGATCAGCCACTATGGGCTACAGACACCCGAGGACTGAAGGTGTACAAACAAGAGCCTCTAGCAATTCCCCTTCATTCTAGCTTTCTTCCTGCAGCAATTCCTTTTCTCCCCTGTAAAGGCACTTTCTATATTCTATATCCTTGCACAGGGAAACCCTTCTGGTTTTCCATCCCAACAAACAGAACAGTCCCACAAATACACAACATTCAGAAGGAATTTTAATTAACAAAATGGTCCAGGAAAGGGGAGGGAGAACCCCAAAAAAAAAAAAAAAACCCAAACCAGGCCATTGCATTTGAAAGGTTGCATGTCAGTCACTAGGTATGCCTGCAAGCCCATGCACAGGAAACCATTTGGACCTTTGTCAGTGCAGAACCAGTCTCAGCTTCCAGAACCACTTCTCTACTCCTTCCTCATATAAGCTAAATATTATATACATATATAAAAAAAATACAAACTTGGGTTTGTTATAAAGTGGCTTCTCTCTCTCCCCCTCCTATGCTTGCTTGGCACATGAACGCATGCAAAGCTAGTAGGCTCTGAGGGCTGCACGAACAGCAGGTTTTGGCAACAAAAAAAATAAACACAGCTAAAATAGATAAGCAAGATTAAAAGCCACTGAATTGAAAACCATATATTTTTCCAATTGTATAGAATTAGAACTACAGCTACGACTTAAAACTGTAAGAGTCTGTTATCCTCTCTCCCAACTCATGTCAAAGTTCATAGCAGCATAGCACGAGATTCCTCAAGAAACATCAAGCCAGTGTTCTCTGCTTCAGGAGTGAGTTCACAGGTCAGAGTTTAGTCTGTCCGAAGGATCATGGGAGGATGCTCGCTGTCCTCGTCCAATCTAAGGGAGTTGGTTTCGTCTTCCAGGCAAGCTCCACCCACAGCACCCAGGTCATCTGTATAGGCTGGAGAGAAAGGAACGAGTCAGCGGGGGATCAGCAGCACCCACTAACCCTCGGGTTCCAAGAGAACGATTAGAGCTGCAGGACCAGACGTTACTTGCAGCAGTGCCACTGCCACCCCATGTCTGCTTTTGTCATGACCGTGTTTCTCCAAGCCAAGAGCAGTTTATGATCAAAATTAAACTACTCCGCGTGTGCACTATGTATGCTTGTGCTTTGGGCAGGCTGATGTTTGTCTTTATCTCCACTGTACGACGCTGTACACGCAGCCTGTCCATCCTCTGCAGCTGAAGCACTGACCCGAGTGCCATACAAAGATGGCAGAAGCTCTACTCAGAGCTGCAGCATTAACCAAATTCTCATCCTCTCGATTTAACCGAGCAGCACATCAGGCTAAAAGGTCACTGTTCCCATAAAGGAACCACAGGAGCACTTAGCAACCTTGTTAAAATAAAAAAAAATTAATTAAAAAAACGGGCTGCAAGTCAGATGCTTTGCACGAGGCTTGGATGCAGAACTCCTGTTTGAAACAACTGCGTTAGGGCACCTCGGGAACCATTTTGGCAAGTGCTGCAACTATCACTACCGTGATCAAGCACAACTCGAGACACAGTTCTAGGCAGAAAGCAGCAAGGATGGCGATCCATCTAGAGGCGGCTACTGTACGTCACAAGTGCTCTTTTCCTACTGCTCACCCATGCTCCACCTCACACCCGCGGTTAGGAAGAGCTCAGTGTTGAAGGAGACGAGCTCAGGCAGCCGTCTAGAAGGAAGCAATACGCAGCAGTGCTCTCTGCCCCGTTTCCAGCCTTCTCCTTACCATGCCTGGTGGGTGAGGAAGGCACGTATGTACCTTTAGTCACAGCGGCACTGTACGTCTGCGCTACCAACGGCCGGTCGTGGGATGCAGACTCGAGAATTTCGTTGGCCGGCTCCATGCTGCCATCGAGCCTGCCAAGCAGAGAAAGGTCAGCTGGAGAGGCGATGTACCTGGCCAGAACACAGCTTTAGCTGGCAGCTACAAAGGAATCTCTCATTAGACGTGCGAGAATAATACATATAAAGATGGCACAGGAGGAACTCGGTCCCTCCGCTCCAGAGGGCTGCCAAGGTGGCACCTGACAACACTCCATATTGAACGCTGAAGGCTCATCAGCGCCATGCTTGCCTCTGACAGGGCAGCAGGATCTAAATCCTAGTAGCTCATGCTAGGGGAAAAAATAAAAAATACTCTAAACAAGAATGCGCGATTGAAAAAATAATCACCATTCCCACTGACAACGTTACGGATTGTTTCCATCTCTGCACAACAGAAGTGGTTGCTTCATACACATACACTAGAAAACCCTCTAGTGAAGGTACTGCAGCATTTCAGAGATTAAGAACTTGGTAAAAACATCCCTCTGAGACTTCATCTACAAGTGAAACCAGAGGTCATATCCTAAAATGTTCAGGTAAAGGTATGATTTTCGACCAGTATTATAGACTGACCTAAGCTGCAAACCTGAATTACCACAGAGAGTTATGGGCTTTAATTCTATGACTGATCACGTAAGTAACCTGACTCTATGACCCCAGCTTTTCCTGCCAAACCTTACTAGAAACCAACAATGCCTTGTCATAGTTTCCTTAAGTGTTCTACAGCACTGGCACAGAACACTAGCTGGCTGTCAAGGCAGCTTAGTAAGGACACCAGTAGAGAGAGGATACAGAAAATTTCATAGGCCGGATTCCCCTCTGAAGTCAGAGCAACATCTCTTCCTCATCTCTGTATTTGTTTATTGATGAAGAGGCTGCTGTCAGACGTTTCAAGTAACTCAAGTTTAAGTAACTCAGCTCAAACTGCCCCGTAAGAGGAGACAGGACCATAGAGCCTGGAGCAATGGATCCTCCCCTGCGATCGGACAGCGTCAGGTTTCTGCTGGTGAAGCGGCGCTTAGCACAGCAGATACTAAGGGGAAGGTGCCGGGGGATCCTGAAGTTACTCATTCATGTCAGAGGGCTGGAAAAAGAGGAGTTTAAAGAAACGCACTGTTCTAAGTGCGACTTCCGCAGAACAGAACTACGTGGAGTAACAAACTGGATTTTGTGAGAGAATGAAACGCAACAGCCCTCAGCTAACGCGGACTTACTTGTGCTGCTTCATGAGCGTGCACTCTCCTCCTTCCTGGGGGTCTAGGTTGTACATGTAGAGATATCCATCAGCAGCTCCCACCAATAAACGAGGGATCTTCTGGATTCTAGAAAGGTTCAGGGGAGAGCAACAGATTAACAAGAACTTCAGTTTCATATCAGCACACTCTCCTCCCGTCCCACGGTTTTAACTCTCCTCCCATGGTTTTAAGCCATTGTCTTCCACATGCTTGCTTCTGGACAGAAAACATTAACAGTGAGACAGAGCACCTAGGAAAGGATTGTGCATAAAAAAAAAAAAAAAAGACAGACATAACCACATTTTGGGGCTGATGGAATGCCACAGGAATCAAGCAACTTTTACACAACCCAGTAAAACGGGCTGAGAAGTTACCATCCTGTTATCAAGCTTTGTGCAACTCCAGAGATAAATATTCTAACGGGAAGTATTTAATTGTTTCAGAAACGTTACAAGGCTTAATTATTGCTTAGAGGGTGCTTCGAGATCAGAAGTCAGAGTACAGACATGAGCTCAATTTAGCATAAAAACTATAAAAGCCCCACAAAATAAGTTTACTACCGCTCAGCTTATTGCTGTGGTAGCTGTGCCAAATGGGACCTGCCTTTGGTGAAGACAGAATAAAGATCAGATTTAGTCCTCAAAATTCACTTTAATGAATGCTCTGCTGCTTTAGAGACAAGAATAATACGAACTTGCTTTCTTTAATGGTTAGTCTGGATTGCCTGACTGCAATTCACTAACACAACACACAGTATCACTCCCCAATGGAAGCAAATGCCATAAGCCTGGGGATCTGTTCTCAACATTCTTCTTTCAAAATGAAAAGGCATCTTTAAACAACACTTCAAAACAGTCTATTCTCATCAAAATACGCTGCCTTTTCCTCCTCCCCTCACAGGACTGTGAGGTGTTCACTCTAACACGTTGCTCAAACGGGAAGAGGCTTTGGCATGATTACAGGTGACCCATCGCTCTGCGGGCCACCTGCCCTGCTGGAGATGAGGTTTATGTTCTACAGTCTCAGCCCCTCCGTAGCCCGACTCCGCAGGGCAGGGAACGCAGTTTCTTTACTCACGTGGCGAGTGCACAGATGTTTTTGTGCCCGCAGAAGGGCAGGCGGACTGTAGCAAAGGCTCTACCCTGGTTGAACATTTCTGTTACTTGAGAGGGCAGATAGCTCGTGGAGGCCATCAGCACTTTTCCAAAGTAACCTGTCCAGGTCGTAGGCTCTTCCTGAGGTCTGCAAGTCAGAAGAAAGAAGTGACTGACTTTGCCTTCACATTAAAAAGGTGTGTGAACAGTCTGAAACAGCTTTTTATTTTTAAAGATATTGAGCAGCTATTTGTTTCTCTTCAGAAATAACTAACACCCTTAAGAACTCTAATGCACTCTATTCGTGCTACAGGGCACAATGTGTCCTACAATACCCTCAGCCTGTTATTTAAGCAGGTTTGGTTGTAAACTGATACTTCTGCTTATAAAACTGCATTTCGTAAGGGTCATTATACAAGAGCAAGATCTACCGGAAAGCGCTACACTGCAACATTTTATTCACCTGTTTATCACTAAGCAAATCGTTGTTTCCAACAACTTCCACGGAAATGTAAGCAAGACTGTCCTCTCAAATCATAAACAGGAACATTTTATAACTTGCTGCCTTTTATAGCCCTATAGGCAGCTGGAAGGCACTGCCAAGATTGTTCTTCCCATATGGATGTCAGAAGAGATGAAACAAGTGTAACCAAAAACGTTAAAACTGCTCCACATTCCTCTGCCAGGGATGGACAATTTCCCTTCAGCAGAAATACCTTTTCTATTCAGTGGAAGAACAGCATGCAGCTCAGCTACAGCTGCCGGTTCCTAAGTCACTTCTTACGCCCTTTACTTTACAGAAGTGTTCAAAAAGTCTGCCCACACTTCTCAACTACTCAACACACCCTGTTGAGTATAATCAATTTTAAAGCCCTTTCCTTGGGGGAAAAAAAAAAAAATAAATCTAAGGCACCTCTAAAACCTACTTTTCTTTCACAGTCTCAAGTTTGAAGATATGCACCGTCTCTGTGTTACTGGATGCAGACAGAAACATGCCATCCATGCTGAAAGCCAACGAACAGATGCTCACGCACCTGGGTGGGAAAAAAAAAGTAAAAACAGTGAAGCATTATTTTTGACATTCTGGTACCGTACCAATTGGTGTAAGAAGAAAGCTCGTGTTAACTAACGCATGGGGATTGACTTAAATGAGAATATTACTTCTCTATTTTGGTAGGGAGGAGCCTTTCTGCACATTCACCACCAAGGAGCTCCATAATGTTCACGTGAGCTGTACTGTGAGAGCTGGGAGGAACTGCAGCTGCATGGTAGAGACTCACCTGCTGCTCTTCTCCTGCCAGTGATTGCAGGTGACTCACAATTAAGCCAAAGTATTTGGCTTAATTAATAATTAAGCAGATTTCTCAGTCACCACTGCTTCACAAAGAAGAAAAAAAGAACATTTCCATAATAAGCATTCTGAATTCTCTGAGACCTTCTTAAAGCACTTCAAGAACAAGAGCCCCAATTAACGACGGTGAACACCAATGTACACCAGACGCAGGGGTCAATTTGTAACAATCTGAACTCAGTCTTAGCTCTGTATGAAGTACAGCAGAACTACAGAGTTAACTACTACCACAAATCATAGTACCATTTCACAATGGCTATCAGTGATCACAGCACTGGAAGGATTTAGAAAAAAAGAGCAAAAAAATACTAGATGCACTGCCTCCAATTGCCACAAGAACACACTGAGTCTCACAAGAGGTGACTCTCTTTAACCGAGCTCCCTCACCAATAAATTTTTAAGAGGCAAGAGGGAGTACAATTGTGACAGGATCGATTTGTAGAACAGTCAAATCCAAAGGAGTGAAGTTGGAAGACTTTCAAGCTGAAACAGTTATCAGCATACAGGCAGGGATGAGTGAAGATGAAGACAGGCAAAAACCAGGATGGCAGCTCAGTTGCAGAAAATACTGGAGATCGAGCGTAAGGAATGAGCTTCAGATAATTAGCCCAGTTGATCCTTACCTCTTCACTCCCCTTCGGAATTCAAAGAGTTTCTGCCCCTCTGGAATGGAAAACACTCTTATTACTGTACCCTGTAAAAACAAACAAACAAACAAACAAACATTTTTCATATCAAGTTCATTCACTGTGTATTAGCCCTAGCGAGCAAAGTACAATTACAAGCACCAAACCATTTTGCTGTTAAGTTATCGCTGTTGATGCACACCACATACTAGCATGAAATATTTATGGAGCTTGTTCGTAGGATGTGTTTGAAGAGCAGAGAAACAAGAGGTGGGAGCTACTAACATAAGAGAACAAGCTGTGCCTCAAGAACAGCCCTTCTTACCTTATCAGATCACAAAAATGACCACAGTAGACAAGTACCACAAGTCACCTGGATGTCTCTGTGCCCCCAGATGCAAGCAGTTACACCTCTGTATTCTAAGCTCACTAGTCAAAGAGCAGAAGCTTCAGACTTTCTAATTTATACAATTTAGATGGACAATTTGTCATCGTGCGCCAAAGACTGGCAAGATACTTCTCTCTATTCTGACTTTAACTGTCCTATTTCCATCAGGAAGACAGCATCAAACCAAGACGACCAGCTTCTAAAAAGCAACCTGCACTAAAGGGAGAAACAGTTCCAGGACTGTCCCAATTACAGCGAGATTAAAATGCATGTATTGAAATACCCTTATTATCCAACATTTCACAGCATGGAAATTGTGTCAAATGCCATTAACAGTTCTTAACTTAGATTTGCCATTGTAAGTGTAAGCCTTCTTTTTTGGCACTTGTGCATGGAATTGTGTGCGCTTAAACTTCCTGAAAATGCTTAGAAACAAATTGGACTTATCCCTGTCAGCAAGTCAACAAAAAGCCGCCTTACCTTTTCTGAGGCGGTGGCAAGTTTAGTACCACTTGCGTCAAACGCCAAAGCAGCCAAGGGACTATCATGAGCTGGGATCATATTGGCAGCTCTCTGCAGGAGTGAGTCAGTAAAAAATAATGTTAGTACAGGATAGGTTAAAAGCTACATGTTTGCAGCCTAAGACTGCATATTTAAGAGCATTCGAGGCAAACATAGGTTTTGCTTTATGGACAACGGCTTCAATATTTGTTTCAGTAACTCCTAAGTACATAATATTATCACTGAAGCATGTGCAAAGAGAGTACAAGCAGTAGGATACTTAAAAGACAATTCAGCTAGAAATTACTTTACTTTGCTCCACTCATTTGCCCAACTAATATTGGTGCCTTCGTTTTCTTTGCCAGGTTTCTGTGAAGCCCAGCTCCGACAGACACCGCAAACGGACGCAGAGGAACAGAACCGAGCGTCCAGCAATTTCCCTCTCAGCCAGTGAGGTCTTTTCCAAAAAACTGCATCTTTAGAATCGGAAAGAGCAGTCACGAAGATCCTTACCAGATTGATGGTGTCAAAGACTTGTACTTCTCCAATAGTTGCGCTTCCTGGGTAGGCCAGGTAACAGTTATCGTTGTTTATTGATAAAGCACACAACCCTAGAAGGGATGCAGAAACAGAATTAGAAAGAGAAATTCTAAGGCTTATGCAGCAAAACTTTCTGATTCTGCATTTGAATAATACAAGATAACTCAAGTTACCCTCACAAGCTATCAACAGAAACAGAACAAGGATGAGCAGTCTCAGAGTCAACCTGCAATAATATTCAACTATTTAAATGAGTTTAATATAAAGCAGAAAACAAAGGAGACCAATAGAGCTACAATAACTGATTAAGCAGTAAAATTTCCCATGTATGCCGTGACTCCTAAAGCATTAGCCTGACAAAGCCTTAACTAGATCAAGTGCTGGCAAAATCCAGTTTGTTTGTCTACTACATCTTTCCAACACCGCAACACTTCCACTCTAGGAGACTAAAATACCGGGAAGATGCTGTTTAAGGCAGAGTCTGCTATTTGCTCTCAAAAACCTCACCTGGATTAAATGGGCAGGCTTTAAGACAACACTCATGTATTTAATCGTTACTTTTATTCAAAAGTGGAATTAACAACGCTGCAGTTCCCTGTAGGAAACGTCACAGCGACACAGAATGCCCCTTTCAGTTATAGCACCTTCTCACAACACACTTACCTGCAGGATTGGGAGGCGTCTCCCTGATTGTATGTAATACCTTCATGTCTCGTATGTTGTGTATATAAAGAGACTCTTCCAGACACACTATCAGCCTCTAGACAAGGGGAAGAGGACAAAATGCTGGTATTAAACTGGAGTTTATATTAATTTATCAATCCTAAAAAAAAAAAATTGTATCCAAAGATGCAGTAGGTACCTTCCAATAGAGAAAAGGTTGTACCCACCTGATGGGAAGAAATAAGAGTCTGATAGAAGATACACAAGATACACCTCTTGACAAGGCTTCAACAGCGCAATACTACACTCGGCCACTTGAACTGACCAGTGCACTTGACTCCTCTCAACCACGCTAGTGCAAATTGATTTAAACGAAAATTATTTACATTACCAGTTCAAGTCAGCAAGGCAGAAACTTCATTTAAAGCTATTTGATTCTTATTCTGTACCTGCCCTTATGTATTTCACCCCCTCAAGAGGCCAATTCACACGTGGAAACAATTTTCTGCTTTGGCTAAAGAGAAAAAACATACAAGACTTTTTTTAACCATTTATAGAACCTATTACTTACTCATAACCATTTGTGAGGGGCTTTTTTTAAACTTTAAGTTCTTCAACATCTCATTTACACTTTTGTAGACTACATCTGGGTGACTAACGAGCTGTTACTCATTTAATGCTATCTCACTATGCCAGAAACCAAATTAGCCACCTTTTTCCTTATGATTGTAAGCAGGAATCCCACCCTCCCACACCTGATTTCTGGGGTCAGGGATGGACATTAAGAAGATTTTCCCCTTCAGATGCCATTCTCTCTACTTTGAATGAACTGGCTGAAGACAAAGAAGTCTGTATTTACAGAAGAGCCCACTCATGATTTAGTAATACAGCACACTATGGTTCCAGGTACTTAAAAATTTCACCAGTTCAGTGTTGTTTTTTTTTTTTTATTATTCCACAAACTGTATTTAAAAACATAAAAAGTGAAAAGATCAACAACTTCAGTTTAGGCCTGAACAGAAATTGTTTCACATACTTTCACCTTTAGGATCACAGGATGATTTATCCTGGGAGGGACCTCAGGAGGTCTCAACTTCCTACTCAAGCATGCCCACCTTACTGAGGGCATTTTTCCTAATACATAAAGACAGAACCAAAAATACTTAACCAAATATAAGTACCGAGATGCCACACAGAAGCTACAGTTCGAAAAGCACAAGTTAACTTCAAATATCAATTCTGTCAAGGAACAGACATCAACCAGCAGAGTCAGTGCCAGAAAAAGATCCACAACCCCTTCCTGTGTTTTCACCTAGTCAAAATTACTACTCACCTGCCTATTGAGTTTGACAGCCAAGATGGTGTTGGAGTAACTGTAGTTGCAAATCTCTGTCCCCTTCTTAAAGTGACAAACTTTCAGCTTGCGTGGAGCTTTAAGGCTAACTATGGCCACCAGGCTACTGGAGAACAGCCTCTCCACAATGCACACATCTTCTGTGTCAGCTGTATGAGGGAATAATGAGGGACAAATACAGAGGGAGATTTCAGGGAAGAAGAATGATACACATCTACAGGAAATACTGCCTAAGAAAATAACAGTCTAACACCACAAGTATTCTGCCACAACAGCTCAGAGTCAAGGTGGGATGCAGGACAGGTTTTCAAAGCAGAAAAACCCACACACTGAATGGTGATTTAAAAATGTCTGGCCCCCCAAGGTGTCAGGCAGGTTTATACTTCAGAACACAGCATCCCTTGCCCAAGATCCAACAGAAAAAACACCCCAAAGATACAAAAAAACCAGCAAACTAAAATCCCAGAATTTTACAATCTTCTCTTATTTCTGCAGAAATCTAGGAAAGCAAAATTTTTGGGGGGTTTGTGTGGGTTTTGTTTTGTTTTGTTTTTAAAGCTATACTTTGCATGGAAGGGTTTCTGATCACCAAAAACCTTGGAGTTTCTGCACACCTCTCCATCAAGAAAGAATGGTTATTGTACTCAAAGAAGCTGGCAAACTCATTTGTTATAAGACTGCTTCAGCCGCTGATTAGTATTCTTTACACATACCATCTTTTACCTGACAGTCCCTAAAAACAATTGGTACAGGAATCACTGAAGCCCAGCACGTACACACAGCCATAAAGCAGCGTTACTTTTGTCAAATGTTCTACTGTGGAAGCACTAGAGGCAAAGGAGGAACACAAGTCACCATTCAAAATGTGGGGAAGACAGCAGGAGGGAGGAGAGCCCATGATCTCTGGCAAGGAAGCACTTTCAGAGCATTTGATTACAGCACAGTATTGGACCAAGCTGGCAGGAATCCAAGTCCCACCACCAGTTACCCTGGCATGTCTGCTTCTCCTCCCCATCCCCTAAAGCCCCCCTCCAAAAGCCCCAGAGACACAGTGGACATAGTTTGCACAGCAGGAGAAAGCTGCAAAGAGTCCTCCCACTCTCTGCAGCTCTCCCACAGCTACTGGCTACACCTGCCCTTCCAGTACAGAACTGAATCAAGACAAGCGACTTGAGCCTTTGGCCTTGATCCATCAAAACAACCAAATTTTTCAGAAGTCAGTAGCTGCATTAGCTCACTGTTTAACACATTCCAAATAATAAAGCTGCCAGTAAAAAAAGGCTTATTTCTGAAGGCTTCTGTTTTGGCCAAAAGGCACATTAAATAATTTATTGGCACTGTTCTCATCACCAGTGACAGGAATTCCCTGAAAAAAGTTCTGTCCAACATTCTCAGCATATGACAATGTCATCACTGTGTGACATGTCTGCTTTGAAAGTCCTTTTTCCTCAAGAAAAAAGAGCAGAAAATATTTAATGCTCCACATTGAGAGAGAGAGAGAGAAATAGCCTCCTTACAGAAAAGGAGGTTTATGCTAAGCATTTTCAGTATTCTATGCAACATAATTGACTTTTATCTAAATCTCATATTTAACATGGTACTTTTCCAGAGAAGACAAAAGAGCTCATAGAGGCTTTGGAAATTCAGTTTCCTCATGCAACAGAGATAAAGCATTTTAGCAATCACTGTTTTCAATGAATTATTCTCCATTTTCCTGACGCCACACACCACAAATGGAAAAGAAATACAAAAATTGGCTTCAACAAATTTATGCATAGACTTTCAAATGCAGAGGTCCACGTTCCTTGAATCAGAGGAGCAACAAAAGAGTCTCAAATATTTCACAGTATGTGTTATCAGCTTTCCATCTAAGCCTGGAGTCCTTCATAACAATGGCATCCCTCTTACAGGAGTCAGAAGGACCAGCACACAGAGACCCAAAAACCACAGCCTGACTGCTCCCTGTTCCTGGGCAAGCACAGCTTCTTTCTCCACTCATGGGCAACTGTGCTAAGACACAGCTTCTGGGATTTGTTACTAGTCCAGGCAGGCGGGAGAACTGGTATTTCAGAGGAGGAACAGCTCCAGAGACACTGACGGAAGAAGGGCTGTCCTGCGCTGCACTGACGGGAAGCGCAGGCAGCAGGGAAGGCACACAGGGCAGAGCACTATCAAGAACCAAGCAGTCACAGATGGAAGAAGATACTTGCAACAAAGGAAAATGCTTAAAAGTTACAGACAACGCTTCAGTCTCATCGGAAGAAGACTTACTGTAATACAAATAGTTACCTTTAGAGAAAGGCTTTGTGATGGGCTTTTAATTAAATTCAGTTTAAGAACACAGGACGCACCTCTGTTCCTTTGTCTTCCCCTAACAGGAAGAAGTGATAAAATCTCTTCACATCTGCCAAGTCATGTATGCTTCCTAACAAGCAACTCAAGTGAGTACCAGGCTGTACTGCGCACCCTACATCCAGCTGACCTGAAGTAACCGTATGTTTAGAAGCGCTAGTTAAGTCCCACAGCAATGCTGTTCATCACAGGGTTTTTTTTCTATTTGTATTTTCTCCTTTACACTACACAAGCGAGCACTGCCAGAAACTCAGACTCAAAATACAGCAAGAATAAAAAGAACTGCAAAACGATTTAAGTATCAGCAGTGAGGGGAGAACAGGCAAATACATAACAAGATTCAGTTTCATAAACACAAGCGTGTAGCATCACAGACAAGAGCTGGTTAGAACCAGCCAGATTACGATCAGCTGTGCTGTTATTCCATCTTTAATCCAAGAACATGAAGCACATTATAACCATTCATTAAGCCTTAAAGCACCCTCCAATCTAATACTTACTTTTACAGGGGGATCAACCCAGCAGGGAGTTAGGACATGAGTACAGTCACAGTAGTCAGTGATGGGAGCAAAGAAACCTCTCATCCTTTTCAGTTGTTCTCTCAAACACAAGACAGCTTGGGCACATTCTGTAGCTTACTTTAGACACCTACACAAGAACTGCCAGATCAATCTTACAGAAGAGAGGTAGGGGTCCTTAAAAGTGCTCACTCAGAACAACACAAAGTCTTTGGGAGGCAGGAGGCATGTGTCTGGAGGCCTCAAGATACCTTTCCTTGCAGGAAGGAGGTACGCAATACACAGGAAGCCCTCTGCTCCCGTACCAAGTTTTAAACAGGCATGGTTTGCAAGCCCGAGACTGAAAATTATTTAACTGCACACCAAAAAGGAAGAGGTCAAATACCTAGATCTGCTGCAGACATTGCATGCCCTATGAGCAAAGGTCAAGGCAGGCTGGCTTTCACAGGTCACACCATCAAATTTTCTGCTAAATCTTACCTCACACTGCGCTCTGTATTTATGGACTTAACACTCATGGAAGAAAACTTACAATATCAAAGAGGTTAAGCCCATACAGGCATCTCAGAACAGTCTGAAGACTGAAATCAGCAGGTCTAAATTCCAATCCCAGCGGCTTTATCAGTTTATTGCAAGATTTTGAACACGGCACTTTATCCAACCTGTACTACTTCCTTCAAGGACTACTTCGAAGCAGCAGTCCTGCAAAGTTCAGTTCAGTCTCTCTCAGGATGTTTATGAAGCGTCTCGTGTAACAGGAGTCATCTTCACTGAGTCTCCTGGGGTGATACCAGGCCAGATACTGTAAGTGCCTGACATACTGCAGAGGTCAGGTACCTAAACCCAATGGCATAAAATGGAATTCAAGCCACCGATTAACCAGTACAACCAGACCGTGACTCAAACAGGCAGATGTAGCTGCAACACCATTTAACCTGACCACAGGTGCCTAATTTGAACCTCACAATTACTGCTCTCCATCGACTGTATACAGCATCAGGCTGTCACCACAGACAATAGGTGATCTGAATCACCCACCATTTTCAAACTTAAGATGCCACAGGGTCAGGTCACTTAGGGAATAGAGTCTGAAGACAAGTCTGTTGGGTGGCATGGTACATCAGGATCCTCCTGTAAATGCTGACATCATAGCTATGGGTACCATCTGTCCACATCGAGTTTACAAGAAAGCAAGGATACTCATGCATAGCTTTCATAGTTTGCTCACTAGCACCTCAAAAACGTGAAGTCTAAGAGCTGCTGGCAAAACAGGGGATACCAGTTCTCCCCCCATTTCAACTCACACCCTACTCAACTGTGATCAGTACTGAGAAGTTACAGGAATATGGATTATTCGCCTTTTGGATGAGTAAACCGACAGCTATCATGTGAAAAAGTATTTTTCTAATAGCAAATACTAGGAGTAAAGAAGAATATAATCAAGGCTTTGTCTTTTTATTTGATAAAGCTACACTAGTGGCTGCCTGCCCCAACAGCTATCATAAAGACCCAAAAGACACACTCACACACCAATTCTTTTTTTTTTTTTTTTAATGTCCAGCTGCTATATAACCTGACTACTGGACATAAAATTAGAAAAGCCAAGAGTTCTCCCCATAGCTATTACCAAATTTCACAACATACCAGGTAAATTTAAATTCAGAACACTGATAAATAGTTTTACCCTGCCAGCAATCAATTGTTTTGTATTTGTGTGATATTTCATCATACACTTAAGGTTCCTCTTACATCAATTTTAAACAACCCGGGAAAAAAATGAAACACATCTTACTCCTCCCACATTAAGCCAACTGATGGGATAAGAAAAAAAAAAAAGATACTCACTGCATTCATAGATCTGCTCTAATTTGTCCACAGAAGAAAGAGAGAAGAATTTGTAGCCTGATTTACTGCCAACTGCAAGGGATCTGAAAAAGAAACAAGCCAGTCAGGAACAAACTAAATCAGCTGTGATTACCCTTGGACAGATTCTTACCCTATTCTAAAACTCCAGTTGGGTTAGCTCAATAAGAAAAGCCACAAAAAGCTTGCAGAAGTCATGATAGACACAGACAGCTTCCTCAGCTCTGGAAAGGCCAAATAGCTTCAGAATTACCCCAGGCGTGGAACCCTGCTTCACGTTTTATGAAGTGAGAGTTCACAGCCCTACTGCTCAATTCCTACCGGTGATTTCTCCATACAAACTAAAAGCTTTAGTGTAGAGGAAAGATGATGACTTGAATAATGTAATGCAAACCAATTACATCATTGCCTCATCATTAGAGGTGACCTCCAAGACCATTTAAACTGAGCTGTCTGGGGATTTTTTTTTTTTTTTTGCTCTTTACACTGTAACCTTCCCCAACCACCCCAAAAGAGCTTTCATATTAAAAAAAAGAATAAGAAGGAATTAAAGACTGCCAACTCTAATTTTCCCCGGTTTTATTTGATGGTTCTCTAGCACCTCCAAAGAACATTGTTAGGTCTCAGTCTTACAAATATTCATGCCGAACCTTTGATCAGAGACGCCCTCTTAAAAACGCCAGTCACTGATGTTAAACAGACTTTAACAATAGTACAACATTAAAAAGCTGTCTACAAACCCTTCTTTCCTCCATTACTCAATTTTCACACTTAGCTCACGGACCATTTAATTGCTTTTCCAGTCAGAGTCTAAGACAGGTCTTAAATTCTAAGCTAGAAAAACCTTTAGGCTTGTCTTGCAGGTCTTTACACATCAAGGCAGCAGACAATGGCACATTCTTATTTTCCCCTCCCCAGGAGAAGAATGATTTTATGCCACAGAAAAAGAAAATGAACAGTCAATACAGTTGTGCAGAAGTGTATTAGTATGCTTATAATTCATATATTTCTTACTGCCAGGACACAGGGAGAAAAACTAATTAAATTCCAATAAAACATGTTTCGATATGCCAAGCTGTGGCAAGTCATTCAATACAAGGCTCAAACCCAAGCCTGCCAGTCAGCCTGCCAAAATGCCCTTCTGAACTCAGCCAGATGATTCTCTGTAATTCAGATGCACTGGTTAGTTCTGCATTTAAAATACAATATAGATTCCTAGATTTCTTGCTCTGTCTGTATTTTCCTCTCATGGCTCCGAAGAGAGCCCTTTTCAAATTTCCAGGTACCCAAGAGATTAAAAATTGTTCCTGAAACAGCTTGCCCTCTGAAATTAAGATCCCAAGCTATAAAGCCAACTTCTGTATGATGGTATGACCTTCTCTTCTAGAAGAAAAACCACAACTGACACAGTCTGGTTAAGAAATTATATTTGAGAAGGTTTAAACCTTCAAATTAAAATATGCACCATCCAGGCAAGAGAGGTAAGCCTCCCCAGATCCAATAACCAAGATATTAAAAAAGCGTATTAGGCTTAGAGACAGAGAAGCAACTACAGAACAAAATTCTGTTGCTGCTCCTCTACGTCACCTTAGAAACACTGAATTTAATTTTACTTCAGACAAAATCGGTACGTTCAGCAGACTGCATCTGATCAGTCGCCAAAGACGCTTCAGTGTTTTTCCTCAACTGCTCTTGTACAACTCAATGAAAATCCAAATTCTGTAAAAAAATATGAAATGTAGTTTAAAAAAAAAGTCATGAGTTAGGTTTTCTTAAGTCACCTACTGCTTCCCTCAAAAGAGAGTTTAACAAAGAATGACACGAGAACTGTCACTTCACAAAGGTAAACAAGCACTTAACGGTGTTAAAAATACACGGAGTCACAAGACTCCTCGCCACGTAAATGATCTACAAAAGACACGGGACGCTTTCCTCACGGAGAATCCTGCAGAGCAGCTATTGGCGAGCGTCCTCCTACGCAGAATTGATGCCTGTATTGTACTTGCAGCTTTAAATACAGAATATGGCTGTATCGCTCTTTTACTGACAGTATCACTGAAACCAGTGAGGAAACCCATTTTTCTTGTCCTACCGACTACCTACACCTCATTTCAATAAGCTTTAGACAACGGCAAAAGCGAGCTGTGCACATGATAAAAATCATTAGACTGAGTGGAAGCCAAAATGAAGAAGCACAGAAGGGACATTTCCATCCATGGCAACTGCTTTTTGTTATTTCTTTCAGGATCAAGGTGACGAAGTCACAAATCCGTTTGTTTACACAGAGCAGTTCGAGTCAGCATAATTAAACAGATTTCGCTATAGAAGCATAACTGCAAAACAACCCGTTTTTCTTCTAGAATAGCATTCTTGGGTTTGGAGGGTTTGGGTTTGTTTTATTTTTTTTTTTTAAATGTACTCTCAAATTACTTCTTACAAAACTATTGAAAAAAGGCTTTTTATATGTAATAAGAGAACTCACTAGGCTGAGCTATACCAGCATAATCATAATAATTTAAATCCCCCATCTTCCCCCGCACCGATATTACAGTTAAGCCCTTAAGACACCCGATAGCTATCTAAATGACCAAATCCACAAAACAAGTATCTAGCCAAAATTACCCCACCTCCGAAAAAATGTGCAACCGTATGGGGAAGAAATATGATCAACATTGCTCAAACAGACAGTGGCCAACGAGAAGCTACTGTAGTTTGTCAGAAGCTCCTTTTACAACACTGGTGTTATGCTTTATTATGACCAATTTTCAGAAGCTGATGAGAGGCTGAAATTGAAAATAAAATCAATATCCAAAAAACCCTGCCTTTTTTCTTTGAACATTATGCTACACGCAGGTGGTTTTTTAGCTCTATTATGTGTAGCCTCTATTACACACCTCAGATTGTAGGCTTTCAGCTATTTCATCATCAAGGTTGTCTACTCAGTACAAAATTACCAATACAGCTGTGATTTATGAAACTGTGTTTACCCACTTTTTTCAAAGATAATACTGTAGTCTGATCCAAGACTACATAAATCTTGAGAGTATTTTCGAGAGCGGCTGTCAAAGAATTAAAACTAACCTCATCAAACGAACAGCGTTATGAGATATTGCACACGTTCGTCTCAAGATGCTGACATTCACTGTAAGTGCCCTCACCTAGAGTGGGAAAGCAGCTGGTTCAATCTCTCTGGCTCTTTAGAAACAAGTTTTTTCAGATGGGTTAGAACTGTACAGGTTTTCTTTTGCTTCTTTAATAGACACACAGCAGGAAGAAAACCAGTTTCTCCCTTTCTGTATCACAGAGGACCTTAACTGTTAATCAGAAATATTCTACATTAATCAGAAAGATCCTACTAAGGGCAACTCTCTCAAAGATTAAAATCAATTGCCACCACAGTAAAAACACAACTCCAGAAGTCATTACTATTTGAAATAAGTGGTTAATTAAACCTCCTTTCATTATGATACAGTCTCATTATACTAATGCTCCACCTCATTTCAAAACCAATGTAACTTTCCAAGGACAAAACATTTTGCGAACAAAGGCTTATGATGAAGAGGGGAAAAATAATAAAAGAAAAATCAATGAAGTAACATAAGAAGAAAAGAATTACTAAGGAAACTTAACTTTGCTTTATTGTCCCCTCCCAAATGCCTGCTGAAACCAAAGCCATAACATCTTACAGACATGTCTTAATAGAAAGGTCAAGGACGTCATTATTTTGGACAAGAGCTAGATACAGAAACTCACATGTTCAACAGATTTGTCAGCAACACTCTGACAACCCACAGGAGATTTTCCCATTGTTCTTACATTAAAAGAAAACCAACACAAACTCCAATGTGCTGCAGCAAAAGGAGACCACACTTGCTCAGCACTTAACACGCAGCAACAGCCTGGGACAACAGAAAGCTCATGATCCGAGTAAACGTCACTACTCTCAGGCCAAATTCCCATCCAAATGGTTACACACTTGCTCCTCTGGCAAGCCCACCTCAGCTGCTACCCCCGCGGCAACAATGGCAAGTAACACAACATACAGTTGCTGCTCTCAGCTGTCTTCCCTGAGCATGAGCTACGTGATCACTCCTTCCTTCCTTTTTTTGTGTTATGTTTAGCTTTAAAGCCTCCTCAGAAAAGAGTTCTGCTGTCCTCAAGGACCAAGGGTGAATGACACCTGAACCTGGGAGAAACAAAGGCAGAGGGGTGAATGCTCAGCACGTAACCCTTGTTCCCCTCACCACTACAGAGATCCAAACATCCCATAGTGAGTGAACCACAACATGAAGGATGCTACACAACTTTGGAGCCATAAGCATTTGCTCGGAATATAGAATGAAACCAATTTATTTGGGGGGAAAAAAGGGCAGAATTAAATCGGAAAGAGCAGATATGGACTGTTACCTGTCACATGTGAACTCCACACACACAAACACACGCAGAGCCTAAAGACGACCTTGCAGTTAAGACCTACACCAGTGTTTTCATCAGAGGTCCAAACGCAAGGCTTCCTTTTGTCCTTTCCTCAGGAGTCTGGTTTTGAAACTACAGCAACTATTTTGTCTCCAAGTGCCCTCATGTGATTACTTATTTTTAAAAATAAGACAACTAAAACTTCCCTACAGTCTGTCAACTTGCATTATTTCACAAGCAGGTTCTCTGGGTTTTCTTTTTTGAATGGCTGGGTTTTTTTGTAAATTGAATCTGAACACCACATAAGTTAATTTTTAAGTTCTTCTAAAGGCATTTCTCCGGGAATATTTGTGTAGCAATTTAAAGACTGAAAGTTTTACCTATTTTATAGATAAGCTTTGAGATCTTGAAGTTTCACTTCGCTTACGAAGTCACAAATTTCTCTACCGTGACACGTTTCCCTAACGGGTTTTAAAGCTTGTATGAGTTTGAGAGGCAAGTTTAATTTTTCATAAACGTATCTGTTCTCAGTTTTAGTAGTCCTCCCAGAAGTAATACAAACAGCACTCAGGTTTAAGCAGTACTCCTCACCAAATACCAATCGTTAATGATTTCCAACTGCTAAAACATACGTGGCATCAGAGATCAC